TTGAACTCTTCAACTTCTGTCAACTGATCATTCCTTTCTGAAGAGTCTCCCAACCCAAGGGTGGGGCTTCATCCTTAAGGTGGAGTTTAAGGTATTTAGCTTTAAGGTATTTTGTTCCTTGTTATTGCTTCCTTGTTATTTCTTCCTCAAAGAGGGAGAAAGTGTATCTCATTTATGGGTTTTGGGTTTGTGGTTGTTGTTGATGGTGGTTTTTTTTTTTTTTTTTTTTTTTAATAACAGTCGTGTTACTTTTCCTCATGCCACTGCAAGGTCTCAGATTTGACTGGACCTAAATCAATCCCTTTACTCTCGAAAGCACACTGATTCTTTGTGGGTGTTTGTTTGTTTGTTTAGTTGCAATTAAAGTCATTCTCCATTCTTAAAATTACTTCATGATATCCTGCTCCAAGAGAAGAGCTCCTTTCCACGTAGAGCCAGGAGTCATCACCTTTCTGGGTGGTGCCATATGTCACCTCCTGACTATGATAAACACTGAGTCAGTATAGATGGCAAGAAATAGTCACACTTTAGGATGGTTTTGTGGTTACAGCACTAGAATTATTGTGAGAGAGGAAGCCAAATTGGCCAGGTTCCTCCCTCCTCTCAGGAGAAGAGCTTACTCAAATGTCTATGAATATGAACCTTAAAATTCAAAGCATAAACTGTTTTAGAACCACAAAGGACATTATATTAAAGTTCAACTTCCTCATTTTATAGACAAGGGACTTAAACTCAGAAAAAGTGTATTATCCTAGATGAGCTAGCTAGTGGCAGTGTGGGAAATAGGGAACAGGACCCTTTATTTCTGTTGTCTCTCTGTGTCCAGACTGCTTTCCCATACAACTCTCTTCAGATGTCACATTGAGTTGTCTTCTCTATATCATGTACTGACACGTAAAATCTAAATATAAAATCTTCCAGAGGGAGAACATGCTTCGGTTAAAATGTGTTTTGTGATTTATCCTGTAAGGAGCTTAAGAATATATATTCAGTGGACCTCAAATAGTAGCATGTCATTCTGTCTATAACAGTCCAAATACTGGCTCTCCTGTGAAAAGAGAAAACAAATGAGGGAATCACCAAAGAGGAAACGTCAACAGGGCCCACCAGGACTTTGTGGGAGCCAGGAGCCTTAAGAGTGTCAAAGCTGATGTGTCCAGCCAGAGACTCAAAGAACAGCAGTTGTTGAGTAACACTGAGTACCACTCCACCCATCACAGGAGACTGGGTTGGACCTAAGAAAGTAATAATAACTATTACAGCTCTTATTTATTGAGTGTTTACTGTTTGCCTGGTGCTCAGCTAAGCTTTTTATGAGTGTAATGTCATTTTCACAATAATATTCCATGGTACATAATCCCAATACCACTTGATTGTGGTAATCATTTCAGGATGTACAGGTATATCAAATCATCACACTGTATGCTTTAGATACATACAGTTTTGTCAGTTACACTTCAGTAAAGCTGGGGAAAAGGGGAAGAAATGAATCGTTGAATAAGAATAAAAGGCAAACTTACTAACATTCAAAATAAAATTAGTGCAAGCAAGATAATGAGACATACTACTTAGTCAATGTACAGAGGGAATCTGAGGCTCAGAAAATTGAGTAAGTTGTCAAAGATGATGCAGCTGAAGGAGTCCTGCCTGGCTATGAACCCACGTCCAATTCTGAAGTCCAGGCTCCATGTCACCATTCCTTCCATGAGAGCCTGCTTCTAGAAATTAGGCCTTTTCAGACTGTATTGAAATCCCACACATGATTTGCCAATTCTAGATACAGGTATAAATCCTCCCAACCTTTCCTTTCCTTTCAGTTGCCTCTTTGATGGTGATATTTTTCTATATTATATTATTCTGACTTCTTTGCTGAATGTGGAAAAATTTAATTCTTCTAAGTGTAATTTCCTAGTATGGTAAATTGCTATTATGGAAAGTGTGCTACTTGGAAACTTCAAGTAGCCTAAAGTAACTTGTAATTACAATGAATTGTGTTGATGCTACGTGCATTTTTATTGTGTATAACTTAACAAGTATGTGATGACTATCTAATTATAGTCTATAGTTCACAGAGTAATAGTTTACAACAATATTTCCTCAGTAGAGGTTATACATGCATACGAGATGCCTATTTTATGTCTGCATACAAGTGGTGTATTACTACAAAATGTGCATACAAATAAAGCCTTGCTAAAAAATAGGCTTTAGAAGCTTAATCTGTTTCAGAAACAGGAGTTTCAAAAATTTGTAGAGAAAAATTATGTTCCTTAAACCAATCAAGGTAAACAAATTCATTAAAATACTTCTGTCCTATCAGACATCATAAGAAATATTCTGACAATACTCGTGAAAGAAAATCCATTTTTAAAGAATAAAACAGGAAACAAAATGAAAAAAATTTTCTACCTCTTCAAAATACACTGAGGATGTTCCTATATCATTGCAAACTTCAAGCACTAAATCAAAGAATAGAGATAATAACAAAGGAAACCCTGTTGGCTCTGCCTTCAAACTGTATCCTGAGTAGATCCACTTCTCACCACCTGCATTGCTGCCTTCTTGGTCCAGACCACCATCGTCTTCACCTGGACCAGTGCGAAGCCTCCCAACTGGTCTTCTTGCTTCTGCCCACCCTCTACTACAGTTTATTGGCAGCAGAGCAGCCAGAATGACCCCGTTACAACCAAAGTCAGACCACGTCCCTGCTCTGCTCAGAGGCCTCCATTGGTTTTCTTTTCTCTGAGAGGAAATGCTGAAGTTACTACAATGACCAGCAAGGCCTTCCCCACTCTGACCTCCGGGCCCCTCTGTGACTTCATCCTTTACTCATCTGGCTCTCCCTCTGCTCCTGCCACACTGGCCTTTTTGTTCTTCCTCAAAGATGTGAGGCACACTCTTGCCTCAAGACCTGGGCTTACCTGTCCCTTTGCCTGGAGATTTACTTACCTCCCTCACTTCCTTCAAGTTTTTGCTCAAATGCCACCTTCTTAATGAGGCCTCCCTGGACCACCCAAATTAATAGCAACCTTCTCTTCCAATCAAATTCCAAATGCCCCAATCTCATTTACTTTGCTTTCCCCCCCCCCATAATACTTAAACTACATTTTCACATACTCTATAATTTACTTGTTTGCTGTTCTTATTGGCTGCTTCCCCACTGTAGTATCCAAGAGGTCAAGGTCTTTGGTATCTGTTTTGTTCATTGGTGTATCACTAGAAACCAGAATGGTACCTGGCACATAGTAGCCCCTCAAATATTTGGTAAATAAATGAACGAGTGCTAAGATAACTCAGGCATTTGTCTTTTTATTTCACTCTTTTTTTGCTTCCCCCAAATGGCCATGATGCCAGCCTCCTTGAAATCTTGGATAATTTAAAGAGCTGTGCATTGAGAAATAACCTAAAAAGTTATTTAAAATATTATAGCCATGTTATTCAGGTTTCTAAAATTAATATTGAAATATTCATCATGACATCTTGAAAGGTTCTCTGCCTTGCTGAATTCTCAAAATAATTTGTCGTATCAGGGACAAAATTAATTGAATTATTTTCTACTCTTGAACCAAGAATTCAATTGATTTGCTGTTTTTCCTCACTTTCGGTGTGCTGTCATATATAAACACAGCTTTGACTTTGTGATGAACTTTTAAAAGATATTGTTAACTCCTCTGTGTGACATTTTATCAGGCAGAACTGCCATGCTTTCAGTAAGCATCTATGGATTCACCAATATCTGATCCTCATTAAACATAATTGTTAAAGTATAATGAGTCTTCAACTCTCAGAATGATAATCTCTCTAGAGTAAGCGTTTCCTTGAATGATATGATATCAATGAAATCTAATGATTTTTTTCCTTCAACAAATACTGACCGTATGTCTACCATGATAGACCTATTGCTAGATGCTGGGGGTCCAGAGAGGATCAAAAACCAGCCCTTGTACCAGAGTGGTTCAGTCTGGGGAGACTAATGGGTAACTGCCTAACAGATCTACTATATGCTAAGTGCTACAGCAGATTCATTGAAAAGAGCTGTGAAAACATGGACTAGAGGATGTTTTTGGTTTTTTTTTAAACTTCCTATATTATCATGGCAGATCTTTGTATTTTTTCATATAAACACGTTTATTAAACAACCTGCTAAGTTCCAGGCACTGTGCTTGTCCCTTGGGATACAGATATGAGTAAGATGCAGTCTTCTGAGAGGTGCCACTGATGATTATATTATTCATGCTGATCTCATGTATGTGGCTGAAAACATTGATTCTTGAAATGCCACTTGGGAAGAATGACCACTTGTAAATGGTGAAGCTTTTAGAGCATGCCTTTTCTCTCACGGGTTTACTGGACACTCAGTGTGCCAGGCTCTGAGCTCAGTGCTGCTAGAGGGTCTGCTCTCTAATCACCATGTGCCTGCATGCCAGGGTGGACTGACTGCTATGAATTTCAGGAACTGAGTCAACCAAAAAAGCACCTGAGACCTGTAACTGCTCTTGTTCATGATCTCTCTTGTCTGATTCTTGCATAATGTAACAAGGTTTATACGAAAAATCTGAATGCCTCATAAATACTTTAAAATTTTAATGCTATTATGAGAGTAAAAAATTAAGAAAAACCAAGAAATACTTTTCAGCCATCTTCTGTGAATATTTGAAAATTGAGGAACTGTGAATTGAATTGTTCATCTCTTTAAGTTAATGGAGTAGCCAAAAAGACAAATTTGTATTACATTAAAGTGTATTATGAAGCCTATGTACAATGACATAAGGGTATATTTAGCTATATGTGAACATAAATTTGCTCTCATAACCATTAATATAGTTGAAAATGGCAATAATAAAATCCACACAATATAGTACTTACTATATACTAGGTACTCATCATGTGATAACTAATTCAGTCACCTAAATAATCCTATGAGTCAGGAACCATCATGACCCCCATCTAATAGGCAAGAAAAGGCACAGTGAGCTTCCTGGTCCAAAGTCACTGCTAATAAGTGGCAGAGCCAGTATTTGAAGCCAGGTGATTGGGCTCCAATCTCCAGGGAACTGCTGTGCTACCTTGCTGCACAGGTAAGTCAGGCAGATTCACCACCTTCATTATTTAACTCAGCATATTTGAGCAGGGCCTGTTTGTATTAAGTGGAGATTTGTACTCTGAATTGTGTTAGGGAAAAATATACAGAAAGTATATAATCCTGGTTTGGAAAAATTTTTTCTTTTAAATATTTCTTAACTAGCATCCCAAAGCATTCAAATAACTTTCAAAAGTGACTCAGTTTTTACCTAACCAAAATATTACTAGTGATGAAACAGCCAAACCTCAAGTTTTAATTACCCATCACATAATGCAGGGCACACCCTTCTAATTATATCTCTTAATGTGAAACTTAGAGTCTAGACTATGGTACATTTACTTTGCAGGGCAGAAGAATTAGAGGTGATGTGAGCGCCGTGCTCTCTGGACCTGGAACTTAAATACGGATTGATATCATTTTGAAGAAAACTGCTTAATATTTTAGAGTGAGGTGACTTTGTAAGTGAAAATTTTCAAGAAGACTTTATGTGATTTTTTTTAATCAACTTAGATGTTTGGAATTTGGATTGCTGTACTCTTATTCTTTGGCACATCACCAGGTAAGACTCATAACTTTAGTAAGTCCTTTAAAAATAATGAGTATAGTCACATCTCAAATGTAATTGACATAGACTTTGAAATGTTAACTCTTTATATTTTATTTGTCATAAAATTACCAAAGGAAAATGCATCATTTTCATAATACTGAGTGAATCTGATGAACATATGAAAAACATCTATTCTTTCCAATAATTTAAAAGTTGCTAGACAATCTTGTATGGGCCTCCAGCTCCATCACTTACTAGCCTATGGCCTTAGTCAAGTAACTTACCCATTTTTGAAGTCTCAGTTTCTTCACTTTTAAGATGGTATGTAGCAGTAAATTAAAATATACATACGTATTTCCATGTTCAGTACCTGATTCACAGTAGATGCTCAATAAACATTTGGATGAATGAATGAAAGATTAATGCTGATTTGAACCTCTACATTGATTTTTTTCCGTTTGAGTCATGATTTTGTGAAGGGATATTGGTCTGTGGACATTTCTTACATATTAACTCAATATTCACTGACTTGTGCATTTTATACTGTGGACTCCTTGTACATTTCCTATGTGATAGTGATGGTTTCTTCTGTTCTTACCACCCCAGGTTTAACATTGTACCTGTCATCACAATAACAGTTAGTTGTCATGTTTTAGCCAAAATAGAATCAGGATTTCAGTGTTTTTCAGTCCTTCCTTCCAGCTTTCCTCTATGGGATGAAAAAATCTAAAGGAGGTGGAGCTATCATTAATTTTAGTATTTACCAGGAACTGTGCTCTATTTTCCATGATTTTCCTGCCCCAGGACCATCCCAATGGAATGATTTCCAGAACATAACTAAGAAATGAGTGAAGCCTGCCCTGGTCAATTTCCTGTACTGTTAACTTCTCTTCTTGGTGGTATCTCCTCCTTCTAGAGCTCAGTGCCCTTTTTTGCTATCTCTACTCACAGCTCAACCCTCAAGATCCTCTCCGAACAAGGATGCTAATACATTTTTTATTTTTTATTGAAGTATAGTTGATTTAGAAAACAAATTTATGATTACCAAAGGGGAAAGGTGGGGGGAGGGATAAATTAGGAGTTTGGGATTAGCTAATACCTTTTTTTTTCAATCAACAAATACAATCACCTACTATATGCCAGGCACTGTGTTAAGGTCTAGAGACACAGTTGTGACTGATAAGTTCCCTAGAGCCCATCAGAAATACTTGCTTTTCAATAGTGAGTGACTTCTCCTTAGAAGCTCATTGAACTAAGCACAAAGTGTAAAATGTCGGGTACCAGAAGACTGAATGCAAATGGACTCTGTTACAAATTTAATAGATGCAGTATAGATAATAATACAAATGTGCTATAGACTCAATTTTCAAATTATGGCAGCTGTGTAATGGATATATTGTGTAGTAGAAATATATATATAATCTAAGTTTCATATTTATTTAATTTTTTTTTATTTGGCAACGAACTCTCCCCTCAGTCCCCTCCTTAGCTAGTTTAAATGCCATGGTCAATCACAGTCACTCCTTAGCGTGCACACTGGACTCCTCTGCTGCTTGATTCACTTGTCTTAATCATGACCGTGGTTAAATCCAACACTTTGCAACTTTGTGCCTGCACCTGTGGCAGCTGAACATGCCTGAAGGAAAACGCAAACCATGCTGACTGTCTCACTGTGAATACATGGTTATTAAACTACAGTGGACCATAAATTTGCCAAGCCTACCAAATCGTACTCTACTTCAGTAGTCCTTTTATTTTTCCCAGGCTCCTGGGTTGTTGCATTCTTTTCCTGCCTACTGAAACCTCAACGCCTCCCTGCCCACCAACACTTTTGGCTGATGGCCTTGTTTCCTTTGTCAATTAAAACAAACAAAAAAAGAAACAGAGAAGAGAGCCTCCGCAAGTTCCCAGCCCCACGTCTGCACATCCAAAACTGAGCTCTTGATCTATACCCTTAAATCTGTTCCTCCCAGAATCTTCCTTGTCCCAATAAATGGCAACTCCAGTCTTACAGGCACTTTTATCCAAAAACCTTGACGTCATCTTTGACTTTTCTATCATACCTCACTGCCAGCTAGTCAGCAAATTCTTTGGATCCTCCTTCAAATTTTACGTCGAATCTGAACACTCCCTCACTACTTCCCGGGCTACCACCTTGATTTTAGGCGCTATTGTCTCTTAACTATTTTACTACTGTAACCTCCTAGCTGATATCTCTGTCCCTGTTCTTAGCCTGCTTCAATCTGTTCTCAACACAGAAGCCAGCCTAAGTCAGCCTGCATCACTTTTCTGCTCAGAGACCTCCAATGGTTAAGCACGTCGCTCCAGAGTAACAGCCAAGGTCCTTCCAATGATCCTCATGCTCTACGTGCTTTAGCCGTTGGTTACCTCTCTAACGTCATCCCCTGCTACTTGCCCACCATCCCTTTTTCAAACACCTGGGGGTCAGATGCACTCCAGGATTCAGATGTTTATTGGATTTTAAAAAGGAACTATGGCAAGTGTACTGTGTAATACAAAGCCCCCAGAGGAACCTGGGGCAGTACCAGTAAACAACCATGCCTGTATTTCTGTAGTAAAATCTATGAGTATTCATTATTAAGTGGGATAAAGAGTGTACGTATGTGTGTGTGTGTGTGTGTATGCAAAACAGGTAAACAAAAAACAGATATATATATACAAAAAAGAGTATATATATATATATATATATATATATATATATATATATATATATATTTATATAAACTGCCTTAGGTCAGTTTTTGCTGCCAAAGAGTGGTGAAAACTAAAAATCAAAGGGAAAAAAATCAAATCCTCAGTTTTTTTTCCCAGAGATTTTTTTAGACTTTGAAGTTGCAGAAGAAGGTGTTGTGGACCTGTCTCTCTCCCTTGTTTCTTGAGCTCCAATCAGGGCAGCCTCCTCACAATTCTTCAGTCCTGCCAGGCACGCCCCTCCCCACAGAGCCTGTGCTTTCTGTTCCTCTGCCTGGAACGCTGCCCAGGAAATCCACAAGGTTTGCTCCTCACCGGCTCCAGGCCTGGATTCAAATACCATTTTTCTTAGTGAGGTCTTCCCTGGCCACTCTATTTGAATTGCAAGCCCTTTCTTAACTAAACACACCTGCACCTTCACCCCTGTCATATTTTGTGTTTCTCCAGCTCCTGCCACTCTGTACCATATACCACGTTTTATTTATTTATTTATTACTCATTGCCTATCCCTCATCCGCCACTGGACTATATACTCCACGGGGACTGGGACTGTTTTTCCACTGCTGAGTCTGGCACATAATAGGCACTCAGATAAACATTTCTTAAATAAATTAATGAACCTATTTTCCAGCTTTTCTTTGTCATTGAAAAAGGCAACTCACAGTACAGTAAAGTCTCATTTAGAAAGTGGAAATTAGGAAAATTCTAACTAATATGCCCATTTATATGATTTCTTAACCACTTAAAACCAGTTTCATGTAATGTGCTGTATTTCAAATACCCCTTTAAAGAACTTTTAGATCAAAGAGGAAATAAAACATTTCAATTGCAGAATGTAGCAAAATATGACTCAAGAACTGAAGAAACTACAAAAAGTAACATTGAAGGAAAAATTTAATTAATAAAAATAAAGTAGAGGTTATAATTGATAAATCTATGTGGTGGTTGCTTCATAAAATAAAAAAAAGAAAACTGTGATGCAGTTTTAATAAAGGGAAATAACATATGTGAAAGACATTTAAATAATTATATTTTGAATAAATTTGTTCTAAAAGAATTGAAATTCTAGATGAAAAATATTACTTTTTACCCCAAAATATATCCCAGATAGATGAACATTTAAAAGTAAAAGAGTGAAACAATAAAAGTATGAAAAGAAAAGAGAGTAAAATTGTTAATGTTCTTGGAATGAGGGTGGTTTTTCTAAACAAGAAAAAATAACTCCAAAGCCATAAAGGAAAAGATTGATTATGTTGTTGAATAAAATGCAAAACTACTATATGACAAAAAGTAAAATCTATAAAACAAAAATATAAACAACTAAACTATAATGTCTTTTCTAAATATCTGAAAGGGGACTGAAAGGGGACAAATCTGTTTACTCTTCAAAGAGTTTTTACAAATAAATAAGGAAAAAACACTTAAGAAAAATGTGCATAGGGCATGAAAATTTCACCCTTAGAAGATGTACAAATGGACAGAAATGCACAAAAAGATACTTAAGTGTATATGTAGTTAGAGAAATGCAAACTAAAATGACAAAAAGGGATGCCTATGAAAACTTAAATGTGCGTACCCTTCCACAGTAAATTGTGTTATTGTTCCCCACTATTTACCCCCTCCCCACCTGGCCAGAGAGGAGTCTATAGCCCCATCTTGTCCACGTAATGTGGCAGGGAGTAGTGCCACGTCTGAAGGTCTGCTTGAAGAGTCTCTGCTTGAAGAGTCTCTGCCTGCTTCAGCTGTTACATCCTTTTCCTGGGACCCAAGAAGAGTATGTTCTGAACAGGATCTGCTCCTTTAGCTTAGATCCTGGAATGAAGAAGACTGATAAATCAGAGCACATCCAGTCTAAAACCATTGCAGTCAAAATACAACATAAATAAATAATAAGCCTTAATGTTTTTATAAGCCAATGAAATTTGGAGGCTATTTGCTACCACAGCATAACCTAGGAAGAGCTAATTAATGTACATCCCAGTGTTTTGATGTGCATTATGATTCATTTTTTTTCCTACCACTAAATAGCTATGAAACATTGGACAAGATGATCACTTTTTCTAAGTCTTCATTTCTTCACATCTATGACTCATAGGGCTCAATCTGCTTTTGCTATTACGATTATTATTAATAAGGCAAAGAAACCAGACTGGACATAATTTGAAGAAAAGTACTCTTCTTTTTTCTTTTGTGCCTTTTTTTCTTCTTATAAAGGTAATTTGTATTCATTATTGAAAACTGGAGACCATAGATATATAATATAAAGAAGAAAAATAGAAACCATGCTAACACCATTATTAATATTTTGGTGCACTTCCTTTGAATTTTATTTTTTCCTCATACATTTTAAATGAAATTATATTCTACATAGTTCTGTAATCTGTCTTTCCTCATCAACATGATATCATTCTCACTTTCACTATACAGATTATCTGTAAACATTTAAATGGCTACATAATATCTTTAATTTTATAACTTTAGGACCATATCTTTTGTTAGATGGGCTATTTAAATTATTGACTCGATTTCAACTTATTAATTATATAGTAAATGTGTTATTTTTAGATAATTACTAATCTTTCCATTTTTTTCTAAGGGATTTTAGTATCTTGTGATGTTGATCAGTTACTCTTTAATCACATCTAATTTCTCCTAACTTTATGCCCCTTCTATGGATATTGCCTTATGGAAAAAGGGCACAATGACCAATAACCCTGGTAAGTTACAAACATAGGAAACATGCAATATTTATAATAATCTTCATTTTATTTAACCCAAACTTTCTTCCATAGACTGAATAATGTAGTTGAGAACCTGATAGTGGTTGGGGGAACCATGAAATGCAGAATATTAAGATAGCTAGACATTCTAGAAAAAAATAGGTGGTTGCATTAGAAAACCATGATCCAATATGAAATCACTGGTGCAAATTAGAACTGGGTGTATGTGTGCTTCCAGGGGAAAAACAATGGATTCTAGACAGGAGAAATAGTGACTGAGAAGCTGTACTGTACTAGGGATATATTGAAGAAGGCACATGTTTGCACTTCCAATAAGAGGAAACAAAGGCAACCAGAGAATCCAGGAAAACAAACACAGCACACAAAAGCATGATCTGAATATGGAGCCAACTAAAATAACACTGGTCTGGAGCAAGTCATGTACAAGAAAGGAGAATTCACTTGAAAATTCTCCTTTAAAGGGAACTGGTATATGAACAATGGAAATGCAGAGAGAAGGAAATGTAATTACAGCATGCTAGCTGGCTCTGAAAGGAAAAATATCTGGTCATAATAATATAAATTCTGCTTATTGATTTTCAGTTTTTTAGGAGTCAGCCTATAGACAAAACATGGAAGACTTAATTGGGATTATAGAACAGTTTGAAAGTTACCAATCTTGACAGAATAAAGGTGAAAGTGCATCTGACAGACCTTGGAAAATGGAAGAGAGAGAGAGGCAGTATCTCTTCAAACTTTGTCTTGCAAAGGTAGGGAGTCACGTTATAAGGAATGTGAGGTATGGATCATGACATAGAAGAAGATTATTTGAGCTTACCACAGAAGCCAATACATGAGGTGAAAACAGTGTTGGTGACCATATTGGAGGAGGAGTTGAAACAAAGTGGAGAGCAGGACAGGCTGGCTATTGAGCTATTGTCCCTCAGCTTCAAGCCACCATTGCTTTGCCAGCACTGGGAAATGGCAAGCACGTTTCAACAGTTCAGTCATTCCTGGAGAGGTGCTGGCAGAGGGAACACTAGAGGGACATTGAGGCTCCGGGAGGGAGACAGGAAGTGTTCCTTTCTGTTTGCTCCTGGTTCCTGTCTGGGTTTTCTCAGCAATGGCTTTCACTCCAGCACAATCATCCAGAAGCAGCTGCTGGTTCGGGTTTGCAGTTTTCTTAATACTCCCAGAGCCAGATGCATGGTGCCCACTCAAAGATGCCAGCCCTAGCCAGTTAGCACCCCTCCTCAGGGCCTGAATACCAGCCCTGGAGAACAGGACCTGCCCAGGCCTAGCACATTTCCAGTTTGAATAACTCACCCTCTTCTGTTTCTTCCACCAGCCCTCGAGCTGCTAGCTGCTCCCTGCAGTTACTCCCTCTGAGTTACTACAGGATGCCCTTTGTCTTCAGTTCTCCAGTACCTGATTAATAACAATTCATCATTAAACTCTCACAGTTAAAATAGCTAGTGTGGTTTCTGTTTCTTGCCCTGGATTGATCCAGGTGGATGAAATCCTCATTTATTATTGCAGCAAATTAATAGACCATGTATGACTGATGTTGATAAATCAAAACTTGATAGTGTAAGCACATTATATGATATGGAGGTAACCACAAGAATTGCAGACGTGTTTTAAAGTTGTTGCGTCTGGGGAGAGGGTTGGGTATGCAGTTGGGCAAGGGATATTGCTCATCTGCACATTTGTTTTAATCTACAAACATTTCTTTGATTTAAAATATTTTTAATTCTCTACCCTCTCTATATATTTATTGTGGAATCTCATTCTTAAAGAATGGAGAAAAGAAAAATTTCCTAAAACTGTAAAGTTAAAATCTAGTGGATTTGAGAGTCAAGACTTAATTAGTATCTTTTTGGTAAGTGATAAAAGAAAATCCTTAATTTCAAGTCTTAAAATAACTCTAACCAATACTAATACATAATCATAAGTAAATTATAATCAATTTAATAATAAGTTGAATAAATAATTTAATAATAAATTGAATAAGTATAAATTATAATCATAATTGAATAGCTTAAACTATTCCTCCATAAAACAGCAGGATATAAAGTTTTTTAAAAAATTATTTAAACTGAAAAAACAAAATAAAACAGTTCACCAACTTCTCCCACCCATGGCCTCTGTCAGTCTGTTCTCTGGATCTGTGAGCTTGATATATCTGTATTAGATTCCACATATAAGAGAGATCATCTTTCTCTGACTTACTTCACTTAGCATAATACCTTCATGGTCCATCCATGTTGTTGCAAATGGCAAGATTTCATTCCTTTTAATGGCTGAGTAATACTCATTGTATAAATATATGTACCACAATTTCTACTTATTAGTTGATGGAAACTTAGGTTGTTTCCATCTCTTGGCTATTTTAAATAATGCTGCAGTGAACATGAGGGTGCATGTGTCCCCGCAAGTAAGTGTTCTCATTTTATTCAGATAAATACCCAGAAGTGAACTTGATAGATTGTATGGCAGTTCTATTTTTCATTTTTTGAGGAATAGTTTCCCATACTGTTTTCCACAGTGGCTGCACCAATTTACATTCCCACCAACAGTGCATGAGGGTTCCCTTTTCTCCATATCCTCACCAACACTTATTTGTCTTTTTTATAATAGTCATCCTTGCATCCCTGGAATAAATCCCATTTGATCATGTGTATGATCCTTCTAATGTATTGTTGAATTCAGGGTATTCAGGGATATTGGCCTGTAAATTGCTTTTCTTACAGCATCCTTGTCTGGTTTTGGTATCAGAGTAATGCTGTCCTTGTAAAATGATTTTGGAAGAGTTCCCTCCTCCGCTATTTTTTAGAAGAGTTTAAGAGGGATTGGTATTAATACTTCTTTGAATCTTTGGTAGAATTTACCAGTGAAGCCGTCTGGTTCTTTTGTTTGTTGGAAGGTTTTTGATTCCTGATTCAATCTCCTAATTAATTGGTCTGTTCAGAGTTTCTGTTTCATCATGATTTAGTCTTGGTAGGTTGTATGTTTCTGGGATTTTATCCATTTCTTCTAGGTTGTCCAATTTGTTAACATATAATTATTCATAGTAGTTTCTTATGATTCTTTGTATCTCTGCAGTGTCAGTTGCAATATCTCCTCTTTCATTTCTGATTTTACTTGTTTCTCTTTCTTTCTTTAGTGAGTCTAGCTAAAGGTTTGTCATTTTTGTTTATCTTTTCAAAGAACCAGCTTTTAGTTTTTGTGTTTGACTATTAAATGAAAATGAAAATGTACGATCATCATGAAAAAATAGTCAGTGAATGATAAAAAAAAGTTAAGACCTACTTTTCCCAAAACTTCATATTTTAGAGATGAGTAAAGTGAGCTCCAGAAAGAAGAAACTTGGTTAAAACTAAATGAAACTTTGCTCTCATTTATATTCTCTGAAACATATATTGGACTCCTGCTGTGTGCCAGGCATGGCCATAGGCCCTAGGGATACAAAGATCCTTTTCATCAAGAGCATTAAGTCTAATAAGAAAAGGCAGAAGCTCGGGGAAGACACAGTATCCCATCTTATGTCTTAGGCCCATTAACAAGGGCTTTCCTGTGAAATAGTCTTCACTTAGTCTTCATAACTAGGCTGTAAGATAAGTCATGTTACCTCCATTTTGCAGAAGAGGAAACTAAGATTCAAAAAAGGTAAAATAATTACCCAGAGCCAGGAATGAATCATTCCAAAGCTCATACACACTTACCCATAGCACTGCAATCTGCACGGTCATGGCCATGATATGGGGAGAGCGGAGGACGGGAAAGGTAGAGGAGAGTATGTTTGCATGTTTTTGAAGAGAATCTCCCTTAGTCAGACTTGTTTCAATTAAAGACTAATTTCTATTAAACCTCTTAGTGGGAAACACAGCCTCTCCCTGGGCCTGGTTCCTGAAATACTGACTTTGTACCTTTTTGCTGCAGGAGAAGAAGTTTGCTATGAAAGAGTGGGATGCTTTACAGATGGTTTACCATGGACTGGGACTTTGTCAAGACAGTTGGCAGGTTTACCCTGGTCTCCAGAGGAGATAAACACTCGCTTTCTGCTCTACACTAGACATAATCCCAAAGCTCATCAGGTAAGCTAACTTGCTGCCTTCACACATGGATTGTTCTAAAATATAAGATGCAGCTATAGGTATGGAAGGCATGGATGATACAGTAACCTATTCTGGCATAAACTATTGAGTTAAAGGAAAATATTTCTTTTTAGTATTATGAGCCAGATTTTTTTCATATGTGCCTTAGTGTTTTACGATTATTCTGAATATGTGTTCCATATGAGGTAAATTTGATATTTTATTCAGTTAATAATATTGAAAACCTTCCACATACAACACTGAACAAGCAGCAATCTTATTATATACTAAATGGAATAAACCAGTACTTAAATGTATTATACTAGGGGAAATGTGGTATATAAACAAATACCTTTATTGCAACACAAACTGTGATCTGTGATGTAATATATAAATAAAAGACCCTGGGAACAAAATGATAAAGGGCTTGCTTTTCCCTTAGGGGTGGGGTTGGAACCAGGAAAGGCTTTGAAGAGGACACAGATTTGAGGTGTGTCCTGAAGGATGAGCAGGGTTTTCACAAGCAGAGACAGGAAATGGCAAAGGAAGCGATGTGAACAAACACACAAAGGAGAGAGACTGCAGAGCATGTTTGAGAAATGACAACACAGGTTAAACTGGTGACAGAGAAGAAGGTCTCAAATGCAGAGTGAGTTAGAGAAGTGATTTAGAGACTAATTGTGTAACTCCTTCCTGGGGAGTTTGGACATCATCCTGGGAACCATGAGACCCCATTGAGAGTTTTTAAAGAGGCTTTAGGACATCTATTCTGCTGGCAGTGTACTTTTTCGCCTGGAGCTGGGAAAGCCTGGAGGGGACGGCCAGACCATTTAGTACTGTGCTGTCCAGCACAGTAGTCACTGGCCACATGTGGCTGTTGAAATGAAATAAAATTAAAAATTCAGTTCTTCAGCTGCACTCACCACATTTCCAGCCCTCAATAGCCACACGTGGCTAATGGCTACCATATTGGACAGTGTGAACATAGGGTATTTCCATCATCACAGAAAGATCTATTTAACAGCACTGAATAGAAAGCTGTAGTGCAGTTTGGATCAGATGTGGGAACTAGCCTGAACCAGAGTAATGAGAGTGATTGTAATAATAGAAAATTAGCATACTAAACATCAACTGTCCTGAGATTTCACGTATGCATGATAGGAAGAATAGTGACCCTCTGGTCTGAAAAATGTGGGGTGAAAGAGAATGAGTCAAGTTTTAGACAAGTGAAGTTTGTTCAGGCTATTGGAGATTTTAGCCTCACAGCTAAACAGGCAGTCTAGACGTGGAGAAAGACATTCAAAAGTCTTTTACCCAGAGGTGAGGGTTGAAACTCAGAGGGCATGTGATCTCAGGGGAGAGAACAAAGCATGGTTCTAGACCCAGGTGAAGCATCTCTACTTAGGGAACAGGCAGGAAATGGGACCAGAGAGGGAGAAGCCCGCCATACAAGATCATCTCCAGTCTTTACCTGCATCTGTAACATTGAGGCTCGCTTTCCATCAGACCTATTGCATGCAGGGTGGGTCTCCCCAGCCAAGACAGCCTTCTGTTCTGCCTTCACACCACGCAAACATAACCTGACTTGGAGCTATCTACCTGCCACACACACATCTGTACACACAGCTCTTTACTGAAATAGGCCATCTGCTCTGTAGATGACAGCTCTAGCTCAAACAAAGAAGAAACAACAGACCTTATTTTGGGTATAGAGAAACTTAAAAAGAAAGCGTTCTCAAAAGTTTGATTTTTATAACTATCAAAAAACTCAGCTGTAAAAGGAAATGAACTCCTGGTAGATGCTACAACATGGATGAACTTTGCAGACATTTTGCTAAATTGAATAAGTCAGACACAAAAGGAGAAATGCTGTGTGATTCTAGTTGTATAAGATATCTATAATAGTAAAATCCACAGAGACAGAAAGTGGAGTAATAGTTACTAAGGGCAAAGGGAGGGGGTGATGGCGAGTTATTGTTTAATGGGTACAGAGTTTCAATCTGAGATGATGAAAAAGTTCTGGAGAAGGATGGTGGTGATGGTTGCACAATAATATGAGTGACAATGCAAATAAATTGTATGCTTAAAAATGGTTAAAATGATAATTTTATGTTATGTGTATTTTACCCTAATTTTTAAAAATGCAAAATATGTTCTGAGGCACATTTGTCCATTTAGGACTCCCAGGGTATGTTTTTCTATTCAGGACTAACTGTATCCCCTGGTCTTGACCCTCAGTCCTGATGGGACTCATTGATCCTTTATCCTCTGGACAGAGACCATGAACTTTGTAGAGAGCAGGCACTAAAATAGAAGGTGATGAAGACCAGTCTTTAGGTGAGGCTGAGCCCCAAAGGCAAGGAAGAGTCATCAGAAACCAGCTACTTTTCCAATAAAGGGGCCATAAATACAATATTTCCCACATCTTCCCCACTCCTTTCTGTTTGGAAAGAATCATGAGTGGCAATCCAGATCTATACCTGAATTTTGCAATGGAGAGAAACCTGAGGGTTTGCTGTTAAAGTCTGTGTATTTTTTAATAACAGCTAGGTTGTAGGATGAGTCAAGGTGTGATACTAAAAACAAGAATCCAGGCTTGACCCATATGCTATCATACATAAATTTGACTGCCTTTGTTTATGAGAAAGGAGAAGCAAATTATGCAATGGCTTAATATTCTTTCGTCAGAGGGAGGAATTGTCCAGGATATAAACATGGCACAGTACACTTGGTCTTCTGAGCCTTAGGTCTTCTCAGCTACCTTTCTGGAAGAATAAAAACATCCCTCTCCTCTCATTAGCCCATGGACTTCTTTTTTAATTCTTATTTTTTATTGAATTGTAGTCGGTTTACAATGTTAGTTTCACGTGTACAGCAAAGCAAATCAGTTATACATGTACTTTTTCAGATTCTTTTCCATTACAGCTCATTACAAGAAATTAAATATGGTTCCCTGTGCTACACAGTAGGCCCTTGATGTTTTTCTATTTTATATATAGTGATGTGTATCTGTTAATTCCAAACTCCTAATCTGTCCCTCTCTCCCCTCCCCACTGGAAACCACAGGTTGTTTTCTATGTCTTTTAGTCTATTTCTGGTTTGTAAATAAAATTTGTATTTTTTTTAGATTCCACATATAAGTGACATCATATGATATTTGTCTTTCTCTGTCTGACTTACTTAACTTAATATGATAATCTCTAGGTCCTTCCATGTTGCTGCAAATGGCATTATTTCATTCTTTTTATGGCTGAATAATATTCCTGTGTGTGTGTGTGTGTGTGTGTGTGTGTGTGTGTGTGT